AGAACCGAAAGGAATACACGTGTGGGAGGGGTTTGCTGGCCGTTCCGCACTCAAGTCTGTGCTCACTCCTGGGAATTCGATAAGACCAGCCTTTCAGCCTTGTCCCCTGCGGCCCAGAGGCCATGCACAGGCCTGAGGGCTGAAGCGCCCCCCCCATGAGGGCGCTGCTCCCCAACAGGGCTCCCTCCTCCTGGACACTCACCGCCTCCTCTGCCCTGCAGCCCTCGGCTGTGCCGCATGAGTGTCACCACCTGCCTTTGCTCCATGTCTCGGAGTCCCCCCCCTCAGGCCTGGAGAGCTGCCCCTTTGTTCTTTCATACATGTCTCCTATGTAGTGAAGATGCAGTGAACAAATGGTCCTTACGCGTTGGTGTAACGACCGGATCAGCGATCAGCGGGAGGGTGGGGCAGTGAGCTACTGGCTACAAGCAGGCAGTGGAGAGCTACAGGAGGAGGCAGGGCAGCAAGCTAATGAGGGGGGGTGGGGGGAGCTACAGGAGGGCAGGGTAGTGGGCGGAGAGCTACAGGGGGGTGGGGCAGTGGGCGGAGAGCTACAGGAGAGGGCAGGGCAGCAAGCTAATGAGGGGGGTGGGGGGAGCTACAGGAGGGCGGTAGCAAGCTACTGGCGCATGGATTCGTGCGCAGGGCTACTAGTATCCTATATAATAAAAGGCTAATGTGCAAATTGAACGAACGGCAGAATGACCGGTTGCTATGATGTGCACTGACCACCAGGGGTCAGATGCTCAATGCAGGAGCTGCCCCCTGGTGGTCAGTGTGCTCCCAAAGGGGGAGCGCTGCTCAGCCAGAAGCCGGACTCATGGCTGGTGAGCGCAGCAGTGGTGGTGGGAGCCTCTCCCGCCTCTGCGGCAGTTGTATATCCCCCGAGGGCTCCTGGACTGTAAGAGGGTGCAGGCCAGGCTGAGGGACAACCCCCCCTTCCAGTAGCTATGATGCAGACTGACCACCAGGGGGCAGAAGCTCAACACAGGAGCTGCTGAGCTGCAGTGACTTGGCAGCTGTGGTTCAGGTGACACACCTGGAACCAGAGAGCCGGTTCTGGCCTGATCCCTGCAGGCCAGGCCGAAGAACCCCACTGGTGCATGAATCCCTGCACCGGGCCTCTAGTATATATATATATTTTGATTGATTTCAGAGAGGAAGGGAGAGAGAGGGAGAGGGAGAGGGAGAGGGGGAAGGGAAGGGGGAGGGAGAGGGAGAGGGGGAGAGAGAGAGAGAGAGAGAAAGAGAGAAATATCAATGATGAGAGAGAAGCGTTGATTGGCTGCTTCCTGCAACCTGGGCATGTGCCCTGACCAGGAATTGAACCCACAACCCTTCAGTCCTCAGGATCCACTGGGCCAAACCAGCTAGAGCCCTTTTGTTCTTCTGAAAGCAGCTGTGGCACAGAGACAATGAGCCTGGCCAACATGACACCCTGGATGCAGGGCATGGACCCCAAGTCCGGGAGACTAGATGGAGGGCCTTGGCGGGCGGTCCCTGTGCCGGGCCTGGGGCCAAGGAGAGCAGGGAGCCCAGCGCCTCAGCTCAGCCTGCTTCCCAGAGATGAGCTCCCTCCGCTGACTGTAATGGGGAGGGGGCCTCAGAGGAGGGGAGAGGCCTCACAGCAGCTCAGCCTGGTCCGGGGAGGAGCCGTATTATTCGAGGAGGGGGGGCCTTCTCCCTGGCTGGCTGCTTTTTGTCCAGGTGCCCGTTTCCCGCTCCTGAAAGCTCCTACGTGGCTGTGGGCTGTCGTGGAGGGTGTGGGAGGCCTGAGTGCAGGCGAGGGGGGGCCGGGCTGGACCCGGGCCGGCACTGTGTGCAGGGGCCTCTGCCCCTTTTTGAAGGGGGGGGCTCTGGCGCTCACCCTCTGTCCCCTGCAGGAGGAGAGGCCTTCTTCAAGTACAGCCCCGGGAAGCTGCGCGGCAGCCAGTACAAGAGGATGATGACCAAGGAGGAGCTGGAGGAGGAGCAGAGGTAGGCGGCCCTCCTGGGGCTCAGCTCTCCTGGCATCTGGGGGGGGGGGGGGCGGGGAGGCGGCCGTGTCTCACCCGGACCCTCTCCTAGGAGGCCGCCCCTGTGCGCTGCACCCACTCTGACGTCTCCATGGTCATGGGAGGGGTTCTCTCCTCATGTGAGGGGCTCGGTTGCCCCCGGAGACAGTCCCCTTGGGGCACTGGGGGGAGGATGCTGAGCCCATTCCTGCACCCACCCTCCCCCCACAGAAAAGAGAAAAGAAAAAGAGATGCCAGGGGAGGGCCTGGAGCAGATCCGGCTGTTCACTCACCCGCAGAGTTCATGACAAAACCCATCCATCACCCGGGCAGAGCGGGATTCTTCCCGCTCATCACTCGGCAGCGCCCGCCGCCCAGCCTCCTCCGAGCCCAGCGCCCACAGGCATGTTTATCTGTTCTGCTCGGGGGAGCCCAGGCGACCGCACAGGCGCAGCCTCCTCGTTTTTAGAATTGAGCTCCCCCGAGACACACACACACACACACACACACACACACACACACACACACGGCGGCCCCACCGCACACCCAGGGTCCCTGCCAGGGCCTTTCCTGTCCAGCCCGCCCTGCAGGAGGCTGAGGAGAGACAGGCTGACCCTGAGCCCAGCGTCCCCACGCGCTCGGGTAGCCTGTGGCCTGGAGTCCTTTGTCGGGCAGGAGTCTAACCGGCACCCGTGGGGCTTGGGCCACCACCCCGCTCCCCAGCACCCAGAGGCCCCAGGGCACTCACCGTTCATCACTCTCACCAGCCACCCACATCCATCCAAGTCAAAGCCACTCCGCCCGGGGCACCCCCACTTCCCCTCTGGGCGGTCCTGGCGGGGAGGAGCCCCTCCAGGGGGAAGGTGGCCTGGGAGCCTCCACCCTCCCTGCGAGGACGAGGACAAGGACGAGGGAGGACTCGGCCTCTGGTGACCCGTGTGCTGGCTTTATATTTCAGGATTGAGCTGACCTCTGACCTCACTTCCCTGTAGCAAGCAAATCCTTTTGGTAAGGAGACTGACTGCTTAGACTAGGGGTGCTCCCCTCATCTGTTAATGTGTCCCCCAAACGACTGAGTGGTCTAACCCCTCCTCCGCCGCCTTCATCGCCAGGGAACACGTGCTAGGCACCAGGCCTCCGCTCTCCGTTCTTTGGCGAACGGGCCTCCTGGCCCAGCCGGTGGGGGGCTGGCGCCCTCTGGTGGGGGCCGCAGGGCTTTGGTCCTCCCCAGAGAAGGGGCGTCGCAGGACAGGCAGGCTTCCATGGCCAGAGCGAGGCTGGCGGCCACAGCTGTTGGCACTAGGCCGGGCGGTGGAGCGGCCGGCCCCTCTGCCTGCAGGGCCGGAGCTACCAGAAGCAGCAGAGGCCACGTGGGTTAGGGAGAGGGGCTGGCACACCTGTGGTCCCTCGAAGGTCCCACGGACAGAGGCTGTGGCAGGACCTGACCTCAGGCGTGTGCACTGCAGGTGGGAGGGACCATCACGCAGGCCTGGGGGGAGGTGTCAGGCTGCACTGGCTGGGTCCCCGAGCTGGGGCCTGGGGAAGGGGAGGGAGGTCCCTCCGTTACTTTCAGGCAGCGGACTGCGTTGCCCAGGAGGGTCTCCCCCCTGATCAGTGGTCTCTGGATCGCCGACTCACGCCTCGTACTCTGTGGGGTGGGGTGACCACGGGGGCAGCCTGAGTTGAAGAGGGTCAGGTGGAGCTCGTGGTCCTTGAACAGGGTTCCTCCCAGGGTGGGGGGAGTTCATGCTCATTTCATCCCTGCCCGCCCAGCACGCTCCCTGTGGCTGTCCCATGAGTCTGCCTGTGGCATCTGCTTGCTCCTCCTGCCCTGCATGTGGTCAGCTCCTGCGCCCCGTGTGGGGCCCCTGGGTGCCCACCCCTCTCACACCTGCTTCTGTTCCGGGCATGGCGATGCTTGGGTTGCAGAGGCTGGAACGTCTGGCTTTGCCTTTTCATCTACAGCAAGATAGTTCTGGTGGGGACTGAACTGATGGGCGTGAGGCAGCTGCGGCCCCAGCTGAGCCCAGAAAACTGCCCCAGGAGCCTCGGTATGAACAATACATGCATGTGATTGTCGGTCCGCTCAGGGAAAAGATGCTCTCGTCTTTGCTCGCCGAATTCCTACGACCAAACTCTGCCCGTCTCTAACTCCTCCCCTGGCACTCAGGGTCCCAGTCAAGTTGCAGGCCAGTGAACAGTAAATACTGCAACCCCCTGGCTTTAAGGCAGTGATGGCGAACCTTTTGAGCTTGGCATGTCAGCATTTTTAAAAACCCTAACTTAACTCTGGTGCCGTGTCACATATAGAAATTTTTTGATATTTGCAACCATAGTAAAACAAAGACTTATATTTTTGATATTTATTTTATATAAAGAAAAATCAACCAAAAAAATGAGTTCACGTGTCACCTCTGACAAGCATGTCATAGGTTCGCCATCACTGCTTTAAGGTATCAACTCAGCCAACATACAGTATCTAGAACCGAGTCGTTCATGGTCACATGACCTAGCAAGCCCTGGAAGCCTCAGTTTACAAGTTTTCAGGGAACGGCCCTTAGGAAGCAGGACGGAAAGCAAGGGACCCAGACCTGCTCCTCCCTTGGGATTCCTCTGCCCCAGGGGCGGGAAGTGGTGAGGTTTCGCACACCCAGAGGCAGCTGCTGCTTAAGAAGACCTGCTTTGTCTCTGCCCTCCTCCTCCTCCTCCTCCTTGTCCTCTGGGGCCTGCCGCTGCCTGGCTGGCTCCCACCGCTTCTCGGGGAGGTGCCACATCCCCCGAGTGTGGCCGGAGGGTGGGTGTGCAGGCTGGTGACTGTACCCCCCAGCAAGACGTCCCCCTCACCCCAGAGCTAGGGAAGCTGTGGGCTTGGCTGGCTCCCAATTTGGCAGGAAAAAGACGAAGTACCACCATCCACTCCCCTCCTTGCACACCACCCGCTCTTCCCATCTCTGGGCCAGAGGAAAAGTGGGCCTGGGCTGTAGGCCAGGCTGGCTGATAGCTGAGGACCGGGACCCAGCGCTGCTCCATTCGGAAGGTCCGCAGGACGGCCGGCCGGCGCTGGAATGGACGCGACTCCAGTGGAAGAGTTTGCAGCACAATGGGCGGGGGGAGGAGGCGGAGGAGCCCAGCTGTGGGATATTCTAGTCTCTGCTGCCGGACGTGCCCATGGGTGTGAATTCTAGAAACTGCAGACTCTGACCTGAAGAGGGCGCCAGAGGACAAAAATCAGGTCCCTGCCTTCCCCCAGTGTCTGTTTCCCTGTGTCATTTAGAAAAGGGGGCACACTGTTGGCCTCAGCTGGGGGAGCAGGAGTCCTAAGCTGCCAGTGTCCCCAGAGGGGACAGCACCCAGTTGGTGGGACTAGGAAGCAATCCAGCATCGCAGGACATCCCAGCGCAGCCACAGGCCACGATCGAAAGTGCCGGGTGCCCGGCCTGCCTCCCTCCCTCAACTACCAAATGCCTCGCAGACTCGCTAGGGGGCTGGCGGGCGGTTGGGCTCCATGCGGGGTCCTGTGCGGGGTCCCACCGGCTGGGGAACAGACTATCTTGCTGAAGGTGCGGAGCGGTGAACTGCCCTCCATTGTCTGAGAAGCCAGCGTCCAGCGGCCTCTGTAATTCCAAACACCCTTCCTCACCCCACTCCCCTCCTCTCCACGGTATTGACTCGGACGATGCAATGGGTGACATCAATGATCTTCTCTCCGTTTCTCTTCACAGAACCGAAGAATGAAGCTGCCCTTAGCGCCCTCCTAAAGGCTTTTCCTTTGGCAGCTTAAAAGCTGGAGAGAGAAAATGACCCCAGAGAGCAGCCGTGGCTCCCAGTGCATCTTGCCTGCCCCGCGGGGACCAGACCCTCCGCGGGCCTCCCCCGGCTGCGGACCCTGGGCGGCCTTTGGCCTTTGCTCAGGGTGTGAGGCCTCCTCCGGGCTTGGGTGGCTTGCTTTGTTACGCTAAGGGGCACACCGATTTTGCTTTTCGCTCAGCCCTGCCTGCGCCACACACCTGCACCCCTGAGACAGTCACAAGGCCACCCCTGTACAATACAAGGCCATCCCTGTACAACCTGTCGTCTTCCTGCAGGCCTCTCGGGTGTGACCGAGGACGAACAGGGCGAGCTGCCATGCTCCCAGCAGGGTCGGGATGGCCCGCTGCCTTGGGGCCACTTCCCTCTTGCTCTCCGTCTGTCTGGCGAAGTTGCTGGGGGTGACAGACGCTGTATGGATGACCAGGCAGCAAAGCAAGGGCTGGCTATTGGCTTACCGTCCCCCTTGTTCCCTCTGAGGAGGCTTCCATCGGCCCTCTTGTTGCTCGAGGCCTTTTCACTGATGTTCTTACCAGCTCAGCCGCGTCGCCTCCTTTGCTTTGGCTGAAGCAGTAATAAGTATTTGCTTCAAATAGATTTCTCCTCGATTTTGCCTTTTCCTAGAAAGTTTCCGAGATGCGTTAGAGCTTCACCCGGTAATCAGGTTGGTTTCCTGGAGTTTTATATGTGACAGTATTTATACCAGGCCAAACTAGTCTACAGTCTTTAGATGTGTAGGTTAAAACATTTTTTTAAAGCAATAAGTTAATAGGAAAACCTTTTCCATTTAATGGAAGGCTGGGAAGTAAATGTCCAGTGTCGGCCCCCGGGCATGTCCCGTTCCCAGGGCCCTTCTCCTCTGGACCTGATGCTTTAGGTTCAGGGCCGAGGGCAGAACAGGCAGCGACCACAGCCAGAGCCACGGGACGACAGATGTCCTCTTGTGGGCACACGGGGCCCACACAGCCATAGCAGTGTCCTGTCCAGGCTGGGAGCTGCTGATACAATAAGCAGTCGGACTCCCTCCAGGTCAGTTACCTCAGTCTGTCTGCGTGGGCACCAGGCCTCACGTCCTGCTGACGGCGCGGACCTGCGTTTCAGCCTCTGTTCAGTCCAATAAACTCGGAGTAGATGATCTTGATTACTGCCTGTTTTTTCACTTTTGCTTGTTTTAAAAGATAATCTCCTCTGAACCCCTTAAAACTTGAGCTTTCTCTCATGTTGATGCCTGGCACTCACCCTGTTAACAGGACGCAAGTGTCACGGCCCTCGAAACACGGGCGCATTTGCGTTCACTGGGGGTGCCCACACGTACATCTGATAAGTCCATCCCAGGAGCTCAGTACACACCCTTCCAATGCCCAGTGCTGCCCTTTCTTCAGGCGGCAGGCGCAGGGCCCTGGCAGAGGCTCCCTCTCCTCCACAGGAAACACTGGGAATTACTTTCCCGGGTGGCACAGAGGCTGGCACTGGGGACTGCAGTACTCCAGCCTCCCGGTGCCACTCCGGTCAGAACCACTGGGTGGGGAGACGTGGTCCTTGCAGAAGGGATGTGTTAGGACAAGTGTAAGACAAGCCGTCGCACCCCTGCCCAGCAGCATGGGGTGCCGGCCCTGCAGGCGGTGCTGTGTCTGCAGGCCACGGTGCGGGAGGCTGTGCCCAAGCCGTGCCCGGCCGGACCTGCAGTGATGACAGCAGCCCGGCTGCAGGGAGGTGCTGCGGCCCCACCTGACACTTGGCTGACATTCTCAAGGGGACCGACGCCAAGCTGGTGGTGTGGTGTGGAGGGAGGAATTACAGAGGCCCGAAGCCAGAGCAGCGAGCCGGTGCCAGCACACAGCACCCGGTCATGCCAACAGCACAGCAAACCAGGCAGAACAAACAACCAAACTGTTCCCTGGGTTTCGCTGCAGTTTCACACCCTTTCATGTCTGCAGCTGCGCTGGGCAGATAGCAGCCTGAGTGTCATAAACAAAGCCGATCTCCAGCCACACCTGAGGGGCAGGGACCCACAGGCCATAAGGTGTCTATGCAAATCAGAGAGGCGCCCCTTCCTCTGAGCAGCGGAACCCCACCCTCACCCCTTGCCCTTGGCCATGCACATCTACACTCCCCCACTCCCCAGCCCACAATGTGCTTTCTCCTCGCTTCTGGCTCCTCTACACGAAGGCTGCTTCTAACACATTTCCGCACAGAACCTCCAGCCCTTCGTGGGACCCACCTTCTTCCTCCTCGCCTCACTGAGATGTGTGGTCAGCAGCAAAAGGCGGTTCCGGGGAAATCAAGCACTGAGAACCCGAGCCATAACTTGGGGGTCCCCAAATCTCCAGGGTAGCCCCAAGATTCAGGTCGTGTTTAGAACCCTCTAGCTGAGTCCTCTAGTCTAGACCACACCGCCCTGTGTTCTGAGTGGGCTGGTTGGAGTTGAGTTTTCTGCTGTTCTGGATGCTCGCGCAGCACTCCCTGCCCCCGGAGGGCTCCCCGGCCCCCGAGGCTCACTGCTCTCCCCGCCTGTGTCCTTTCTCCCGGCAGAGTTCAGAAAGAGCAGCTGGCGGCCATCTTCAAGCTCATGGAGGACAACAAGGAGACGTTCGGCGAGATGTCCCACGGCGACGTGCAGGAGCAGCTCCGGCTCTACGACATGTAGGCTGCCACCTCCGCCCGGCGACGCGTCCCCACTGCTGTGCCGTGACGCTGCCTGACCCGACACCAGCCCTTGTCACGTCGACTTTCGTAGGAAGAGGTTCATCATGTACAGATCTGCTCAGTCCTCGCAGCCTCTGTTATGTTACAGGAATCAGGACTGTGGTGTTCAGGGGAGAAAGGCCCGGCTCCTCTGGCTTCTGCCCATGGGTGAGGCCCCAGCTGTCCCATAGGTAACCCTCCCAGGCCCCAGCTGTTCCATAGGTAACCCTCCCAGGCCCCAGCTGTCCCATAGGTAACCCTCCCAGGCCCCAGCTGTTCCATAGGTAACCCTCCCAGGCCCCAGCTGTCCCATAGGTAACCCTTCAGGTTCCAGAGGCTCCAGCTGGTCCATAGGTAACCCTCCAGGCCCCAGCTGTTCCATAGGTAACCCTTCAGGCTCCAGCTGGTCCATAGGTAACCCTCCCAGGCTCCAGCTGGTCCATAGGTAACCCTCCCAGGCCCCAGCTGTTCCATAGGTAACCCTTCAGGTTCCAGAGGCTCCAGCTGTTACACAGGTAACTCTCCCAGACTGTCTTCCACTCCCGACTGAACCCTCCACGCAGCCCCAGGGCAGACGTGGCCCAGGAGGGTTGACCTGAAGGCTCAGCCCCCCGCACACATGTGGAAGGATCCCTGGTGCTGGGGGAAGATGTGTATCAGGGCTGCGGCCTGCATGTCCAGTCTGGTAACACTACACGCTCACTCTGCCTTAGAAGGACTTCTGGAAGCTTCTGTGACTGTAGGGAAGCAAGCAGTGGGGGAGCACTCTTTCAGCAAAGAGGCTAATTCAACCCCACTGTCCATCCTGGAACAAAGCAACCGTCTCAGGGTTAAGCCCCTCTCAGCATTTCCCTCACGTAAGCATGAGACTGACTTTACGTATAACTAAGCACCTTATAAAGCACCTGGCACTATGCCAGACACAACAGACAGAAGACACAAACCCTGGGCACGCGCCTGCCTTCAGGGAGGTGAAAGCGCTTTAGAGAAGAAGGCACGGCACAGGGGAGGAACCTCCCAGGCAGCATTCAAGAAAACGCTAAAACATAAAGTCAATAAAACCTCAGAACAGTCGGGGGCCCCTCATGGGAGCATTTCTGGGGGGCGCAGGCTGTGTCTGATCTCCCCGCCGGCGGAACATTTCAGAGCCAAGTGAGTTAGGAAGAAGCCATGATGTTCTTATATTTTTTATTTGCTGGAATAAAACGAAATCAACACACAGAATTAAAAGAGGCCAGGGCATATTGAGGCCCTGAAGTCAGCAACGCTGGGACAGGCACCTCCTCTCATCTCCCGTCGCTAGACCCGTTCTCGGGCCTCCTCCACCTGCTGCTGGAATTCCTTTGGCTTCTTTGCTGACAGTAGGCATGGCGGGCGGGCTGCTCTCTCGCCCGGGGTTATACTCAAATGTCAGTGCTTTTTACTCTTAAAAATTATTTTTATCTTTTTTGCCAAGCTTTTAAAAATTTTATGATTTGAGAATTGTTTGTCCCCTTTCTGGGGTCTCAAGGACCCACTTACGTGGTTTTATCTCGCTATTCCCTGAACGCACACAGCAGGCAGGTCTCCGGGCTGCACTGCAGGTGGCACTGCCCCTGGTGGCACTGTACTTCCCTTTCCTCTCCTCCTGCCCCCTGTCCTTCGCTGCCTCACTGGGACACCATCAAGTCCATTTGTGGCCAGAAGAGTCCTCTTAAAACAAAACTCATTTCTTTTTTTAAATATATTTTTATTGATTTCAGAGAGGGAGGGAGAGGGAGAGATAGAAACATCAACGATGAGAGAAAACCATTGATCTGCTGCCTCCTGTATGCCTCCTACTGGGGACCGAGCCTGCAATCTAGGCATGTGCGCTGACCAGGAATTGAACCGGTGACCTCCTGGTTCATGGGTCAATGCTCAACCACTGAGCCATATCAGCTTGGCTAAAACCCATTTCAAACTGACACCCCCATGTCCCCCCAGATATCAGTATTGCTACAGGTCAAGAAAATCAAAGTACCTTCCAAATAACGAGCCCATTCTTAGAAGTTTCCTGGTAAAAACTTTAACACAACCATAAGATAGCATCCCACCCTGCAATTTGCAACCAAGAGGAAACACCCGTTCCTTCACAAGTGTGGAAAGGAAGACAAATTCACCCCATTAGGGCCACAAAACAGCAGAAGGTAGGGAGAAAAAACAGGGTGACTTCCACAAGCCAGGCCACGGCAGGCCACCGCCAGGGTGTCACTGCCAGGCAGGGCCCAGGAGCCAGCGGAATGGAGCTCTCCAGGCCTGGAGGTTCAGAGACTTCCCGGGCGCAGTGTCCTCCAGCAAGAGCAGCCTCTCCGAGCCGCTGAGGTCCTGCCGCCCCCCTTCTTCACTCCGTCACCGCCCCACTCTGGAGCCCTGCTCCGAGGCGCTCACACACACAGCTGTGGCTTGTCACCCATCACACACCTGCCGTGGGTTAAACTGTTCACCAAACTCTCTTTGCTGGAGACTTTTCAGGCCCCCTCCTTCCCTCTAAGTCTCTAGTACCTGCCAACATCGGACAAAATGAAGTGTCTCCTCGCTTCCTGCCCTTAAAGTCGCTGCCTTTCCCAGGGGCTGTACTGAAGGAAACGTGCGCTCTGAGCAGCCTGAAGAGCTGCCTAAAGCCCAGGGCAAGCTTGCTGCGAGCTCCACACACAGCTCCCCTCCAGCCGCCCCCCTCCACTCCCCCTCACCACCCTTTAGATCATTTATACTTGTTTTCAGTGTTTTAAAACCTGAAAATGTAACTAGTTTTTCTAAGAACAGATCACTTGAAAGTTGTTTTGTTCTTCCCAATTTGATGATAAGAAATACACTTGTCCAAAGGACGGCCCTGTACTCACAGTTTGACAAAGTTCACCTGGGCAGCTGTCTAGGCCTGGAAGACGGCAAGTGGACGCCCGGCTGGGCCCAGACAGACGGGGCCTCCTGTGCTCCAAGGCCACAGGCAGCCTGTGGCACCAGGCACTGAAGGGCAGGAGCGAGGGGCTCTGCTTCTCCCTGCGCCATCTGGACGCACCACCACCCTCACTGCCCGGGATCCATGGCCAGGCTCCACTTCTCACTGTAGAAGGAGAGGTTACATGAACTCGAAGCAGGGAAAGTCATTTCCTTTCTCCGCTCCTCGCCTCCCTTAACAGCAAGGCCCCAGGACGGATAACCAGCACACACACACACACACACACACACACACACACACACACACCCCCCGTCCTGCCAGGACTGGGTCCCTGGAGAACGATGCCAAGCTGAGCACATTCCCAACGGTCACAGTTCTGTGTTGTGTTGTGGTCTTTTGTTTTCTTCCCCTATTACCATCAACTCACTTTATTTTTACTCTATTTCCGGCTCCTGAGTCTTCCACCAGGTTCTCCACCACCACCACTTCTACTCCTTATGAGTAAACCATTTTTATTAGTTTTGGTTTGGGCCTTTCAGTCCTTATTTTTGCTAAAAGTAGCAGCCCACACGCACGATCTCTGGAGATCACGCCATGGAAAACGCCGCTGGCTTCCTCATTCTTTTTAATGCTGCAAAGTCTGCTGAATAACAATACTATAGTGCGGATGGCTGCCGTCTATTCTGCCATTTGCCTACTAGTGGGCATTTGTATCGCTGCCATTCTTGCTAATTCAAATACCACTGCGCACCTCTCTGTGGAAGTGTTTCGGGGCAGATTCCTGGGAACGGACTGGCGGTCAAAGCTAAGTTCATAGGTTACTTTGTCAGGTGTCACTTCCCCATCCCCCACCCCCACCCAATTTGCAGCGCATGACAGAGCGTTTCTGCGCTGACCTTCCCGAAGTACCTTGTCAAATTTTGGATTTTTACCAACCTGATAGGTCAGGATGTTAGCTCAGTGAAGTTTTAATTTGCACTTTTTTAATGAAAGAGGTTGAGCATCCATTCAAGTGTTTAAGGGCTCCTTACATCCCACCCCCCAGAAACTGTCCGTTTCTGTCTCTTCCTGTTTCCTACTGACCATCATCCATCATCCATTTTAGCTCTAATACCCCTAACAGCGCACATTTCCCATTATTAAGTCCGTGTTTAGAAACCAGCGCCGGCCGCCCAGCCCGGTTACGTTCTTGCGAGTGGTATAGCCGAATGGGTCCAGAGACAAAAGGCAATGCCAGGAAACACCTACCAAACTCCGCAGCCTTGGTTGAAAGCCATGATACTGGGGAAAGGGCCTTCATTTACGCGTTAATTAACCGCTCACTTGCGCACTCGGAGGAAGCCCGCACGGGGACAAAACACACAGGTTTGAACCTTACTTTCCACGGCGGGTATCCCTCCGCGGCACCTCAGTGGTTCGAGCATCTGCCAATCTCTGCGAAGGCGAAGCTCTTGATTGCCATTGGATACTGCATCCTCCCATTGGCTCCCTCCGCCCCAAACCCCGCCCTTCACTCAAAGATGGTCGTCCCGGATGTCCGGTCTCGTCCAGTCGCCTTTCCTCAGGGATTGACAAGTGCCTTTGTCCAATGAGAAGCGCGGAGTGGCTCTTGGGTCCACGCAAGCCCCGCCTCTCGCCTCTGCCGCAGAGGCTGCCGGGTGTGGGGGCTTCGGGCGGCTGTTCGCTGTCGCGGCTGGGCCCGGGCTTCCGGGTTTGTCTCTGGAGGCCGAGCCCCAGCTGGCAGCGCCTCTGCACCAATCGGTTCCCACACCGAGGCCCCTGCCGCCTCGAGGTGCGACCTGGCGACCTGCCCGGCCCGGGCCTGGCTCCTAGTTCCCTCCCCGAGCACCGCGCCAGACCCTCAGTACGAAGATGACTCCCCGCGGGTTCCCGTGCCCCAGGCTCCCGCCAGCACACTCCCCGGGCCCGTTGCAGAGCGGGGCCTGGGGCCTCCCGCCGCCGTCCTGGAGCCGGGCCAGCACGCCTCCCCGTGCAACCTTGGCTTCCCAGTTTCCCGTTACCCACGCGCCCAAGGCAAAATCCAGCAAATCCTTCGGGTGGGCAGCTGCACGCACCCATTTTCGCCCCGAGGTGCCGTGGGCGTGGTGCTGACTTAGGACGGTGCCAGGCAAACGGGGCACACCCTCACCTGTGCCCGCCGTTCACGCTCCGCCCTGGGCATCGGCCGGGGTTGACCTGCGCGCCTCCGAGTCTGAGATCACTGGCCCACTGGAGGCTTCACACCCTGGAGTGGGGTGCCACCCACCTGGATTTGGGGGGCCTGGCCATGGCCTAGGTCCCCTACAAATGAAAGGGGGCCGTGCCGCAGGCCAGGCTGGGTGACCAGAGGTCACGAAGTCTGTCCAACAACTTGCCCGTCTGCAGTCCGGTCTCCTAACAGCCGGACTCCTCCTCTAAGCGCTGTAACTACTTCTTACCGAGCTCCGGGCTGCCAGTCACGTGGCTCCTTCAGAGGCTTAGCGCGTCGCCTCCGCTGTGTGCGGTGGTGTCCGGCTCTCTTGCCATCAGCCTCAACGGCTCTGCAAGTTCAGTTTCAGAAGAGGAGGCAGCTGGCAAAGGGAGGAAAATTAAGGAAATCGTTCCCGGAAGAAAAGGTTCAATGAAAGGAATGGGGAGCGAGGGGGACAGTGGGGTGGTGAGCGGTGGGAGCCGCACATCGTGCCTCTCAGACATGCATGGAGCCTGGCTCCGCGGCTTTACCTTCCCGCAAGGCGAGAGGAAGGTGCTCCAGCCCCTCAGGGCCATGCCACGCGGGGCACTGTGCCTGGCCGGTGTTCTCTCCTGGGTCTTCACTCCCCTTTGACAGGAGAAAGGACTCAAGTTACTGAAGCCCTAGCTGGTTTGGCTCAGCGGACAGAGCGTCAGCCTGCGGACTGGAGGGTCCCGGATTCCATTCTGGTCAAGGGTATGGACTTCGGTTGCAGGCTCACCCCCCCTCCGCCCCCACCACCCGGGTTGGGGCAAGTGTGGGAGGCAACCAGTCAACGTTTCTCTCTCTCCCCCGCTCCCTTCCACTCTCTCTAAAAATCAATGGAAAAATATCCTCGGGTGAGGATTTAAAGGAAGTTATTGAAGATAACCCTGTTTAAAACCTGAGTATCCTTTCAGCAAAGAAGGTATACGGATGCCCAATAAGCACATGAAAAGATGTTCAACATACAGATGGAATGCAAATGAAGACCCCAGTGAGACAGCGCCGTCAGAAGGATGGCCATAACCATAGAAGAGGACAGGCAATAACAAGTGCTGGCGAGGGTATGAGGAAGAGGCAGCCATCACACACCCTTGACGGGCATGTAGCATGGCGCAGGGGCTGTGGAAAACGGCGGCAGTTCCTCCCAACATTAAACAAAGGCTTGCCCTCCGACTCAACAGCTCTACTCCTGGGTAGGTACCCAGTGCAATGAAAACATGTCCACACTCACCACAAAAAAGCAAGTCCTGTGACATGGTGGAGCTGTCAGCTAACAGCACGGTGGAAATCGAAGGCTTTAAGTAGTTGAATGGTATGGTTGGTGTGTGAATTACACTTAAATAAAC